AAAAAAAATGGGTATATATATATTTGTATGTATATTATCTTTCATCATACTATATGTCTAAAAAGTAAGTAAAGAGAACGACAAGTGACCATTATTAAAATCATAAACGAATGAGAAAGTGTTACCATTGAACGAGTTCGAATAAGTAGGCGGTCAATCAACAGACAATTATTCAGATCAGTGTTGTTCTATTCAGACGAGAAAAAAGAAAGAAAAGGAGAGAGAAACAGAAAGAAAAAAAAAAGAGATGATTTCAGATTCAGCTCGACAAATCATCATCATCATCATCATCAACGACAGCAGCAGTATCTTTCTCTCTCTCTCTCCCATTCACAATGGTAGAGTGTGCCAATGTTCTTTTTTTTTCTTCTTTTTCTTAGTCTATCTGCCTGTCTGATTGTTGTTGTGTGTTACTACACGAAAGATGTGGTGTGTCTCTCCATAAAAGATATAAATCTGCTTATAAGAAAAACAGAGCAGACAACGACGATGTATGTGTATACGAGCGCGCGTCGATGAGAGAGAGAGCAGAAAAAGTGGCACACACAATAACGTAGCAGCAGCGAACGGTTTTGTTTAAACGCGAAAACCTAAAAATGAGGGGGAGAGAGAGAGAGAAGGAAGAGTTATGTGCTTGCCTTTTCTTAGTGTGTATGTGTGTATGTGTGTGTGTGTGTGTGTGTTGTCATTCATTCTCTTATTCTTCCTCTTCAATGCCATGCTACGTCTATACACCGGCATGACACAAACAGTATGTACACGGAAAATTACTATTATTGCTCGTGACTTGTATGTTGATGATGTTGCTAGTTATTTGACTGTCAAATAATAAAAATAGGTAAAAAATAAGAGGGAGAGAGAGAGGAAAAAAAGAATTTGATCGATTGTTCTATTGATGTTCGACAAGCCACGTGTAGTTTTTTTTATAAGTATTTGTATACGTTTAACAAAAGAAATGAAGTTAGGCAGTGAAAAATGTGTAAGTAATCGAGAAATACACATATACACAACTGATGTGCTGCATGTTCGGCGATTTGTCTGCTTTATTCATACACATACAAATATATATATATATATATACATAGAAGTACAATGCATACGTCAACATCAAGTGCAAATAGATGAAAAAATATATAGAAACAACTCCCTTGTACTCTCTCTCTCTCTTTTTCTCTCGATACTTTAGCTGCCTTCATCTTACCATTGCGATTAGAAGTCAGTATTACAACGACTATACACTATTCTCTATGATCATTATCATCAATAAGACAAGCAGCGAACGAGACTAGCGTGCAAGCGCATTTTTGTTTTACAAAAAAAATGGGGATCGCCCTTCTTGACGTTGACATCGTCTCTTCTGCTATTGAGCATTTTACTTGTTCTTGTCTCTGTTTTATGTTGTGTGTGTGTGTGTGTGTGTGTGTGTGGCGGGCAGATACTGTTTCCGGTTAATTGCGGCGGTCGTCGTCGATTTTTCCCCTTATTCTTTTCACGCACACTCACACATGCCGCTCATTTTCTTTTCCCCGTTATTTTATTGCCAAAAAAAGAAAACGAGAAATATTTTTATTCTTCATATATACATACTTGTTTTAATTCTTTCTTCATTTTTTTTCTTCTACTTCGTCTTATTCTTCTTATGTCATAACTCATCCTTTCCTTTTACTTCAATCTTATTTGTTGCATACCTTTTCTTTCTTATAATATATATATATATATATATAAAAAAACGTTTTTCTATTTCCCTTCGTCTTCTTCTTTTTTTTTTGACACACGCAAACTAACTCAATCTTTTATCGAATGTCATCACATCTATAAGAAAAGCAACTTTAGCTAGTGATTCGAGAAGAAAATCAACATACATCCAGGCAACAAAATCAAATTAAGACACATACACAGCTTATATGAATATATGCATGCATGTATAAAGAAGAAAAGTGTCAATAATGGATGTTGAACGTCGACGACGGCAAGCGGGCACAACCTTGTATGAGTGTTCGTTTCTCTCTCTCTCTCCATCTCTCTCTCTCTCACTCACTCATGCCACACCATCACTGACCGATGAGAAAGAATAATGTATATGCCGTTTTATTTCTAGATGTGATGTTCACACGACGGATGCTCTATGTAGCAACAAAAGACAAAGAAAGATTCATCTTTCATTCCCGGTGGTCGTGTGTATTGTATGTGCACTTCTTATTCATTCTCTAATCAGCAATAACAACGACCATGAGTAACAATAGCAAAGAAACGATGACTAAAAAACAACAAGATGAACTTACTTCAAGTTTTAATAGTAATATTCATTTATAATTTATCTAATATTATTTTTTTATTGATATTATCAATGTTTAGATCTACCCTGGAGTCTCCCATTAGGTTTCTCATCATTATCACCATTTGGTGCATTTCCAGGTTTTGGTTTACCTACACCTAATTTTCCTTCATTGAACAGTTTTGCTTCATCATC